TGCCGTTCACAGTAACTAAGAAAACAGCCTGCCCTGGTACAATTAATTATAGGTCAGTGTCGTAGATTTACTCCCAAACAGGGCCTAAGAAGAAACTGCAAATGACTATGAGGTCTGTCTTTACTGAGGACAGTCAGGAAGAGGCTGAAAGGTGGGTGAGACAGCTGTGAGGACAGATGTAGTGCATACAATTTAGCAGCTGCAGGCTGGAATCAAGGCCACTTTCAGTCTCCCTCCCAGTCACTGTGGAATGGGAGGGACAGAGCAGAGGCTCAGGGGCTGGCCTTTAAGGAGTGTTTGTCATTTTGCCCTCAGGCTTTCCGACTTGCAGTGAGAGGCCATGGTGTGGGAGTGGACGTGTGTAATGAGTTGCCTTCCTGCTGACAGATCTGCTCCCTGGCCCATTTGTGCAGAAAAGTAAATGCATGCCTCAGAAGTGAGGCTGTGCTGCTGGGAGATCCTTCCCTGCCATGAGTCACCATTTGTAAATGGAACTTCCATCCCAGGCTCTTCATTAGGGAGAGGTTATCAAGAAGAAAAATGGGGCACCCATCTGGAGATAAAAATCCCTGATACCTAACATATTGTCAGCAAGCTCTCTAGCCCGCTGGGTCTAAAGACGAGGCACCGCAAGCTCCCACGTACTCAGATGCAGATTCTCTCCCTGTCTCTGTCTCTCTCTGTCTCTCTCTCTCCTTCCCTCCTTCCATTTATCACCTGTCTATCTGTCTGTCTGTCTGTCTCTGTCTGTGTCTCTCTCTGTTTTTCTATCCCTATCTGTCTATCTGTCTATCTGTCTATCTGTCTATCTATCTATCTATCTATCTATCTATCTATCTATCTATCTATATCTGTATGGTGTTGTGTCTCTGTCTGTATGTATCTATGTCTGTCTGTCTCTTACTTTGTCTGCCTTTTTATGTCTCTATCTCTTTCTGTGTCTCTGTTTATCTGTCTATCTCTCTGTCTCTCACCCTCTCTCCACTAGTGCTAAGCTTAGCTGAATAGCCATTTGTTCTAGGCACTCAACATAAACCAGACTAATACATGAATAACACAGATTCTCCTTATAAAGCATTACAAAGATCCTCCTTATGAATGTGCTGCCTGGGGTGTAGGTCATTTGTTAGAATGCTTGCCTCATATACCTGGAGCTATGGATTCAATCCCCCCAGCACCAAATAAATAAATAAATAAATAAATAAATAAATAGACACACAGGGCAGTAAATATTTGCTGTTTAACTTTGCATGACCCTGTGTTGTGTCAAGCCTGCCTTGATAAAGTTCTTCTGGTCCCTTGTTATTTTTTCATCTTCCACACTCACTCTTCTGTGGTATCCATCCTCTGAATGTCACGCGTGCCTTGTCACACAACCAGTCACTGTCTGTATCAAATCCACAGTCACATCTATGACCTTTTTCCTCTGTGTTCTTGGTAGCACGGATGTGACTGATCTCTAACTTGATACTTTTTTGCCTTAACTGCTGTAACCCCCACCTTGTCTGACTCTTCCCTGTCCTGAGAGCCACTCTTTCTCAATCTCTTTCTTCTCCAGACTCCTTGCCACAGTATAAGACCCTAGGTGGCCTTGTCTCCTTTCCCTTATCTGTCTATTGTCTTGCCTGAACCATCCCGCTTAATAAGTCACAGCTACAACTTCAAATTTATAACTCTAGCCACTACTGCTTTCCCCAGTTTCAGCATCAAATGTCTACTATCTGCTCTAAATCCTTAATGGGATGTGCTCCAAGCACATCACACTTGATGCACTCAAACAAAATGCAGGTTTCTCCCTCTGTGTCTTGTCTCTTGTTTCTTAGTAATACCAAAGCATCCTATCTTAGCAAGACTGTCACCTTCTTGCTGATCGTGGTGCTTTGAATGAAAATATTCTCCATAGACTCAGAGGTTCCAAAACTTGGTCCCTGGTTGGTGGTACTATTTGGTAGGTTTAGGAGGTGTGGTCTTGTAAGTGTGTCGATGTGGAGGAACAGAGTTTGGGGTTTCAAAGCACATGCCATTCCCAGATCACCCTCCATTAATGCTGTGGTCCAAGATGTGAGTTCTTAGCTCCTCTCAGCTTGCAGTTCTAGCCACCATGTCTGCTACCTGCTGCCAGGCTGTTCCCTAACCCTCTGGAAATATAAACCAGAAATAAACTATCTTCTATAATGCTCTTTGTGGTGTTTTATCACAGCAATAGAAAAGTAGCTAACACATTCTGGGATTTTTTTTTTTTTTGGCTTTACTCAAAATTTCCCCAAAGCTCTTAACCTTGAAATAAAATCAAAATCTTGCTCTCAGTTTGTACTTGACTCTCATCTACCCCTCCCTGACCTCACCCCCTTCCACTTCCTCTCTCGCCCCTCCACTCCCAACCATGCCTCCACCCTGCTTCAATACCACCCTGCATCCAACACACCAGGCTCACGCTTCCAGTTCCTGCCTCCGTACTCATGATTTCCTCTTCCTGCAGGGCTCCGGGCCCCACTTTACGGTTATTCACTTCCTCTTCTTCTTGTTCAGCCACCACCCCATCAAAGGGGACTCCTTGGTTGTTTTATCTATGTCTAGCCGTCCATACCCTCTTTGCTGCCTTACATTTCTCTTTACTTCAAAGCTCTATGGCCACTTGATTGATACGTTGTTTATTTACCATCCCTCTCCCTTTAGAGGGAGTGGCTTAGAAGCAAGGACTTGAACTGCTTTATTACTGTTCAATCTCTAATAACCAGCAGAGTGCCTGGTGCATAACAGGTATCAAATCGATACTTGTGTAATTAATGAATTTGTCCTTATTCTTCTTTCCCATGCTCCTTGTGCTCCTCATCTGAAAAGTCTTTTCACTTAGACCCAAACTCATGCAGCTTTGATTTAGTTTAAACCATTATTCAACTACACTATCTGAATATTGGCACGGCATTCGCTAATATTACTGTTTAAACATTGGTAGACATTCATCAATTATTTATTAAACTGAATTAAATTTGGTGGCTGTCCTCTGAGAGGCTCCACCCAGCAGCTGACCCAGACAGCTACAGACACCACAGCCAAACACTGGATGGAGCTTGGGGACTCTTATGGAAGAATAGGAGGAAGGATTATAGCTTGAAAGGGATAGGAAATCCACAGGAAGACCAATGGAGTCAACCAACCTGAACCCTTGGGACTCTCAGAGTCTGAACTGCCAATCAAAGCACAAGAGCTGGAGCTAGGCCTCCCCACACATATGTAGCAGATGTGCATCTTGGTCTTCATGTGGGTCCTGAACAACTGGAGTGGGGGCTTTTCCAAAAGCTGTTGCCTGTATGTAGGATATGTTCTAGCTGGACTGCCTTGTCAGGCCTCAGGGGGAGGAAGCACCTACCTTCTCAGAGACTTGAGGTGCCAGGGTAGGAGGACACCCAGGGTGCCCCCCACCTGCTCAGAGGAGAAGGGGAGGGAAGGATGAGGAAAGGATTGTGGGAAGGAGTGACCGGGAGAGGGCAGTGAACGGGATGTAAGGTGACTAAGTAAAAAAATTGAATTAAATTTTTAAAAAATGGTAGCTTTAAAACGGAATTTCTCTAGACCAAAGTAGTCAACTAACCTGGACCTTTGGGAGATCTCAAAGACTGAACCACCAACCAAAGAGCTAGCATGGGCTACATCTAGGCCCCTCATACATACATATGTGGTAGCTGTGTAGGTTGGTCTTCATTTGGTCCCCCAACAACTGGAGCAGGGGCTGTCCTTGAATCTGCTTTCTGTCTGTGGATCCCATTTACCTGAGGCCTTGTCTGGCATCAGTGAGAGAGGATGTGCCTAGTCCTGCAGAGACTTGATGTGCCAGGGTGGGGGAAGATGGGGGTCGGGGGGCTTCCCCCTTCCCAGAGGTAAAGAGGAGGGGAGACTAGGGGTAGGAGTTGTGGGGGGTGACTGGGAGGAGAAGGGGGCCAGAAATTGGGATGTAAAGTGAATAAATAAGGACTTAATGAAAAAAAACTAAATTTCTTTTTTTTCTAGTAAAATTATTATAAACCTTAAGAATAATTAAAAACACCAAATTTTATCTTAGCCAGGCTAACTGATAGCAAATCTAACCCAAAATGCAGAGGCCTAAATCACAGAATTATGGTTTTCTTTGATTTCACCTTCTGGTGCAGTGATTGGAATCCCAGTCTCTCGGTAATGTGACGTCTGCCTTTCCAGCTGTAGCTGGAACAGCCCAGCCTTTCGACTGTCCGCTGAGACTTTTATATATAGTTGAGGGAGTGGCTTCATGGAGATTTTAATGGCCAGCCTCAGAAGTGGAAGAGATCTCTGCTTCTACCCAGACCAAGATTAGTCACGTGACTTCAACTAAAGTACAAAGTATGTGGAGGTAGAGAGGTGGGGGTGGGGCTTCCTAGAGGGAGAAGGGGATGTAGACTGTCTTCCTAGTCTCTACTACCCCATTTTATGATCCACAGCTAGCACCAAGTGGTTGCCATTTGAACAAGTGGGACCATCTCCTTTTAGGTATTTGAGGCTTACCAGGGCAGGCGGACCAAACTGAGCAGACAGGGAAGGCCCTATCAGAGCTCGTGAGCATGAAACCTTGATAGAATCATCCTGAGGTCCTCATGAGCTGTCTCACCTCTCAGCATTCACCGGTGTATGATTCTATTAATAAAGTGAGCTCATACCTTATAATAACATAACTCATTACCTCTAGCAACTACCGCCATTTCTGAATTCCATGTCTCTACATGAGCCTTCCAGGTGGCAGGTTAAGTTCCTGCTGGTGGCCTCTGTGTTAAAAACCAAAGCTGTCTTCAAACTTATCCCTTTGGGAATTGATAGTAAATGGTCTTGTCCAATCGCTTAGGAAACAATCCACATGAAATAATTATGAATAATTCAGGCAAAGTTGGAACATAGTCAAATATACCTTACTTTGGTCTTAAAGTAGTGGTTCTGCACATTTCCAGACTTACTGAGAATTAAATCGCTCAAGGGTTATTATTGCCTCTTACCTTTTCCGTAGTTTAAGTCAGATTCACCTTGTGTTGACTTTATGGTCTGTATCAGTGGATGTTGCAAAGTCACAAGATGAGAAACCAAGATTTATTTAAGAGTAATATGTAATCTGTGAATAAAATAGAAAAATCTGGCTTGTAAGATGGCTCAGTGGGTATTCAAGTACTTGCTACTAATTTAGATGACCTGAGTTTAATTCCAGGATCTAACAGAATGGAAGGAAAGAACTGACTTTGAAATTGTCTTCACACACACACACACACACACACACACACACACCAAATGGAAAAAAATGAAATTCCAGTATCATTTTAATAAAAAAAAAATAAGAGAAGTTGCATGATGGTACAGCCTATAATCCTAGCACTTGGCATTTGCAGCCAGTTTTCACTACAAGAGACTGGGGAATAAAGAGAGTAAATACGTATGACAAATTCATGACAAATCGTATTCTACGATTTTTATCTCATTGCTTTTTCTCCCCTGTTGGTTTTCCAAGACAGGGTTTCTTTGTGTAGCCCTAGATGTCCTGGAACTCTATATGTAGACCAGTCTGACCTCAAACTCAGAGATCCACTTGCCTCTGCCTTCTGAATACTGAGATTAAAGGCGTGCACCATCACTGCTGGCTGCTTATACACTCTGCCCCCCATCCACAAAGATTAAATACCAAGTAACTAACATCCAGATACGTGCACTGAAAAAGAGAATACAGATAAAACACTTGAGGAGAGACAGTGTGCACAAGTAGAATATCTATATGATAGCCTCAAAATAATCTCCAGTTCAGTTCAAGTTGTTTTGTAAATGTGAATCATAGTCAGATATATTACATCTGATGGCATGACTGCACTATGGACTGGCTGAAAGGACCAGATAAAAATCCCCTGGAGTCAGAAAAGAGGAAAGGATTCTCTTCAAGGAGGGTATACTGTGAAACAGTAATACATGATAAATAAACATTCACTATATTGAAAGTCATGGTGTAAAGAACAAAAAGAAAACAGGCTATACATAGTGTGTGTGTGTGTGTGTGTGTGTGTGTGTGTTGAAGCACTCCATAAAAGAGAGTTGAATCTAATGAGGAAAGCCTGTTGTTGGGACATCTTATCCTGAATGATGCTGCTGAACAGAGTATCACAGATGAGATCATTTATAACAAACTGCAATATATCGGCTCACAGTTACAGAGTCTGAGCTGCAGTGTGTGGAATCCAGTTCTGGCTTTGTTCTGCTTCTCTTCCTGGTGGAAACGGCAGGACAGTGAGTGAGATCATAATGAACCCACATTGGCCATTCGTGCATGGACAAGTATCCCCATGACCCAAACGCTCTGAGGGAGGCTCCACTTCCCCCCACAGCAATCAAGAGTCCAGTAAAAGACTTGTGGGGACACATGCACACTGTTGCCCAGGCTAAGAAGCCCAGATTCAAGGCAATCAGAAATGTAGATGTAGTGTGGGTCCTTAATCAGAGAAGAGGGATGCTGAAAGCTGATGACTCTGGCAGGAGTCAGGGGGAGATGGAAAGGGAGGAGGCCGGTAGAGAGGCCGCTGCAGTAACTTATGTGATATGAGAGGGACTTGGCTACAAACCCAAGAGACCACAGAGAAAGGAAAAATGCTTGTGAACAGAGAAGAAAGCGCAAGCATGGGCTGAAAGAGAACTCTGGGGACCAGGACAGCAGTGGTGGCACTGAAGATAGACAGGGAAAATTTATGAAGCTTGTGATGTACTTTTTCATATTTGATTTTGTGGCATTTATTACTGAGTTAGTCATACATGGAATATTCCTCTTTAATTTCTAGTTCTAAGACACATGGTTAAAATTAGAGTTCATATTCTTGTTGGCTTTCGTTTCATATAACTTTGAAATTTACAAGGTTGAGGGGGTGGAGCACACACATCAAAATGTTATATAGTTGCCAGGTCATGTCTTCATCTTACACAGAGTTGCAGAACAGGGCTCTGTGCAATCAAAACATATTGTACTAGGGAAGGCCATCAGCACTTAAGCTTAAAATGATTTCCGAGTAACTACAGCTTATGTAAGGCAGCTAACTGATTTTTGAGGTATTATGTGAACCTTTCACCTGAGGCTTTTTTGTTTGCTTTGCTTTTTTGGAGTGTGTGTGTGTGTGTGTGTGTGTGTGTGTGTGTGTGTGTGTGTGTGTTGGGGGTGGGGAACTTACAGTGACTTCCTTAGCAAGTAAGAAAGCTTCAGTGAATGCCAAGATTGCAAAGAAATGTAGACCCTCCTCCCACAGAAACGTAGATACCAGGGAAGATGTCTTTAAAATTTTAACAAAAAGCAAAGCATACAGAATTTTGGAGAGACGTCTGGATGTGAAGTGAGGATAGACTTGAGGATCCGCCAGGAGGAAGAGGGAAAGGAGAGAGAGAGAGAGAGAGAGAGAGAGAGAGAGAGAGAGAGAGAGAGCCCCATCCCTGACTGAGAGCACAGGAGAGAGAGCATTTCAAAGTGAGTGATCTGGAGACCCCAAATTGGAGGTGGACTGGCCGGCAGCAAATGGAAATGAAGCGTTTGCCTGGCAGAGGCTTTAGCCTTTGCTCCATCAAATGTCATTTTTCTCTCACCGGAGCATCCAGCTTTCCGGAAGAAAAAAAAAGCCAGTTGCTGCCAGAACAAGATGACAGGTGTTGTAGAGGAAGAACAGAGCCCATGGGGACACAGATAAGTTAGTGTGTGAAAGAATTACTTTCAGGATCTCTGCCATCATGTTCTCAAAGCCAAGCCTTTAGAATTAAATCGTTCACCAGTTGTGGGTGCACAGACACACCATAGAAGGAGAGAGCCAGGAGTTCTTTGGAATTGAGGTGTGTGTCGGAGATGGCTGGTTCTTCTCCAGGGTTCCATCTTCTCTGCTTGCTCAGTAGCAGATGCTTTCTTCAGATGATAGTGGGGTCTGCCCACTGAAATCAAGGGCTGCACTCCTGAGCCTTCTTTGCAACTGAGGTGTATCTAAGATGGTGTTTTAGTCAGTGGTCAGCAAGTGAAATGTGCAGTTCCAGGGATGTTTGCTAGTTTCCTCCCCTCTCACACATGGAAGCATGCATGTGATTGTAGAAATTACCATCGAAGATCACTAAAGGCCTCATGTTATCCAGCCTGGTGACACATGCCTGCTCTCCTGGTACTGGGGATGCAGAAGCAGAAAATCATAACGCCAGCCTAATACATTCATATATACATGTACGCACGTGTGTGTGTGTGTGTGTGTGTGTGTGTGTGAGAGAGAGAGAGAGAGAGACAGAGAGAGAGAGAGAGAGAGAGACAGAGACAGAGACAGAGACAGAGAGACAGACAGAGAGAGAGAGAGACAGAGAGACAGAGAGCACATGCGTGTGTATGTTGAGAACTTGTCTCAGGCCAGCAAACAAATGAAACATCAGAACAAGGAGTTAGTTGGAAATTCTGTTCAACTGGCAGAAGGTCTGCCTAGCATCCTTGAAGCCATGGATTTGATTTGCAGTACAGCATAAATTGGGCATGGTAACAAATGCCTACAATCTTAAGCACTTTAGCCAATGGAAGCAGAAAAATTGGAAGTTTAAGATCACCCTTGGCTACATAGTAAATTAGAGGCTAGCCTGGGCTACATAAGACCCTGCCTCCAAAAAATAAAGCTTAAAAGACAAAGACAAAGGAAGAATCCCTAGTGGGATTCCATACTAATCAGAGATGGTATTTCCAGAAAAATAGGATCAATCTCTATCTTTGACAGAAGTCCCTGAGAATGGGAAAACTGGAACTCACAGAGATAGAATAGGCTTGACCTAAACTCAATGGGTGGGGATTCCTGTGATGAAAAGAGTAAGCTGTCTTCAAATAAACACCAGGATAAGTCTAATCAGTGTGAACGCATATGAGCATTAGTGTAATGGTGAGAAAAATAATTACCCAACTGTCAGGATTGTGCTTGGGCAAAGAGAAGTCACCATACCTAACACTGCTTAACTGCACACAAACTAGAAGAGAGGGGTTAGAGTCCTGGGTGGAAAGTGAGAGCTGGACAAGCAGTCACTTGTCAACAGTGAGTAGGGAGCTATCTGGTCACAGAAGCAGAAGAGCAGAGGACTCTGACCAGAGGGGGGGTCATAGCGAAGGACAGAAGCAGAAGAGCAGAAGACTCTGACCAGATAAGGGGTTCACAGTGAAGCAGAAGAGGAGGGGACTCTGACCAGAGGGGGGTTCATAGCGAAGGATAAAAGCCACAGGACTCCAACAAAAATTCATTGTTAAGTTGGAATCTGTGGCAAGAACCAAAGCTCAGGGAGACCAAGAAAATCTTAAACACAAGCAAGCATATCACAGACCAATCTAGGAAGACAAATGGTGAACCTCACTCATGGATAAAGCATTGTCTGATCAGGCAAGAGGCTCGTGTGCAAGGAATAGCAGGCTCTGCAGAGGTCATTGATTTGGCATCTGTTGTCAGATAACAATTTATGTAGAAAACATTTTCAGAGGAACCACTAGGCAATAGTGGTTACAACACAATCAAGTTCCACATTCTGGCAGAAAACAAAAAGGAAAACACTATTATACACTTACTCAACTTTTAAAAAGGAAGCTGGGGACAACCATCCCAAAAGAAACATTACAAATGGAACCATATTAGGAGAATTAATTAGCTGGGCGGTGGTGGTGGACGTCTTTAATCCCAGCACTTGGGAGGCAGAGGCAGGCAGATTTCTGAGTTCGAGGCAGCCTGGTCTACAGAGTAAGTTCCAGGACAGCCAGGGCTACACAGAGAAACCCTGTCTCGAAAAACCAAAAAAAAAAAAAAAAAAAGAGAGAGAGAGAGAGAGAGAAAGAGAGAGAGAGAGAGAGAGAGAGAGAGAGAGAGAGAGAGAGAGAGAGAGGGAGAGAGAATTAAGACCCCTGGTTATTGCTTATATGTCACTAGAAGCCCAAGAGAAATGTTGGCCAGGAAGAAAAATAGTATATATGATAACTAATAATTAAAAGCAAACAAAAAAGGCCTACCTCTGCGTTAAAAGTGCCTCTTTTTTGTATTATTTAGTAGTAGTAGCAGTAGTATTTGCATGTGTGCATATGTGTGTGTGTTATATGGATGTATGTAGACACATGTACATGTGGTGTACATACATGCATCTACTTGAGGAGTAGATGTGGAGGCCAGAGGCTGATCTAGAATGTCCCCTCAATCACTCTCCACTTTACATATGGAGGCAGGAAGTCTCACTGAACCTGCAGTTCAACAACTTGGCGAGCTTAGCAGCCAGTTTGCCCAAGGATCTCCCTGGGCTGGGCCTTGTATTACAGACATTTGCATGGTGTTGGCCATCCAGTCTTCATACTTGTAGAGCAAGCAGCTTATCTATTGAGCCTTCTTCCAATCCCTTGTTTTCTTTTTTAAACCTAAAGATTGACTAACTGGAAGAGACAAAGAGCAATGCAGAATTTGAAGGACAGGCATAAACCACAAAGTGAACAGCAAAAAAAGTAAGGCTTTCAAACACAGGGACAGGAGGCTGCAATTCTGTGGGATCCGCCTTCCTCTGGTTTAATTTTTTCAGAGTTACATATTCCAGGCAGGTCTCAAACTTATTCCAAAGTCCAAGCTGACCTGGCTCAAGTTCCCAATTTTCTTGTCTCAGCAACTAAGAGTTGGGGATAATTTTACCTCCTAGGTAGAGGCCCACTGATAAGAGGTATTAGAGCAGACACCATACATTCCTAGAATGTTCTGGATGCTCTAAGCCTGCTTAGAAAACAGAGCTCAGACCTAGGGCCAGAGATGATTCTGTAGGTAAAAGTGACATCACAGAACCACCACTGTATGGAGAAAACTGATTCCACCGAGTTGTTCTCTGGCGTCACATTAGTGCTACAGCACGTTCCCTGAGCACATGAAACACACTCACAAATAAATAGGCACATGCTTAAAAGAGGGGTTTTGAAAGCTCAGATCTGATTTTCAGAATATTGTTTTCTTATTTTAATTATTTGAGATTGCATGTTTCATACATGCATATACTGTGTTTTCTTAATCGTGTTCTATTGCTGTAAGGAGACACTATGATAAAGGCAACCTATAAAAGAAAATATTTCATGAAATGCTTACCATTTCAGAGGGTGAGTCCATGATTACCATGGTGGGGAGCATTGCAGCAGGCAGGTATAATGATGGTACAGTAGCTGAGAGATCACATCTGATCCACAAGCACAAGGCATAAAGCAAGAGACTGAGCCTGGCAAGCCCAAAGCCCACCCCAAGTGAGACAGCTCCTCCAACACGGCCACTTGTCCTAATCCTTCTCAAAACAGTTCTACCAACTAGGGATCAAATGGTCAATATATGAGCCTACCTACAGGAGCCATTCTCATTCAAACCACAATATGTGTGTTGATCAAACCCACCCCATTCCCTCCCTCAAATTCCTCCCTATCTTTCTACCTCCCTTTCTCTCTAAACTTCATGTGCTCTTTGTTTAAATCAACCGAGTTCACTTCAGGTTTCCTGCATGTGCTCAGGTGTGGAACAATCTACCAGAGTAACCTCTTGGGCTCCATCCATGAAGAACACTGACTCTCCTTCCCACAGAGCAGCTATGAATTGCCAATACTGTTGGAGTTAGACTCCATGAGTTCCTCCATGCTGGGATTTTGGCTGACTTGACCTTGGGATATTCTTGATGATTTCTTGAGGACTTCTAAGAGTGATGTTACACAACATATCTGACACTCTTTCAATATTCTTGTTCTAGATTTGTCTCCCTGGAGTGGTGTTTCCCATCTCTGCCCTTTCAGCTGCCCGCTTCCTCATCTCCTACACCAAAATCCTCGTTATTTGCACCTCCCTCATCTCGCCCTTCATCCTTCCCCTGGACCCACAACTTAGTCCAATGGCACTCTGCAAGAGAAAACCCACCTACGTGGAGCACTGACCAGCACAGAACACTCACCTATATAGAACACCCACTTACATAGAACAAGCACTTACATGGAGCACATACCTACATGGAACATTCACCTAAACAGAACACTCATCTGCATGGAGCAGTCACCTACATGGACCACTCGCCTACATGAAATATTCACCCACATGGAATACTCACCTGCATAGAACACTCACCCACATGGAGCACTCACCTACATGGAGCACTCACCTACATGGAGCACTTACCTACATGGAACTGCTCATTAGAATAATCATTTCATTGTTTCCCTAAATCTGCCTTGGTCAATGCTCAGCCAGGTAACACAGAAAATGCCTGAAGAAGAAAAAAGAAAATGCTCTTCTTTCTGTCTTTGCACACAAGGGCACTGTGATGAGACTAGCCAGTGCGCAGACATCTTCTGATGGTTTAGGTATGTTCTCTCTTGTTCACTCTATGATGTCCCCTTTTCACAAGGAAGCTGCACAGCATGAGTAGCAGGAAAGGTTTCTTGTGTCTGGCTCCAGCATCTTCAGGCTTTCACACTTTGTGGACTATCCTCTGTCTTATGTGTGTATAACTGCCTTTCCCCTATGCCCCCTCCTTTATTACCTCCTGGGCAGCCTACATGGACTCCATGGCAGCCAATTGCTGTCCAGGTCTTGATAGGAGTTCATACATTTATCATGTCTCAGGCATACAGTCTCATAGAGGAATGTGTGAGCATGTGATTCCTTCATGAGCACACAAACTCACCTCTGTGTGACACCTCAGGCACATGAGACATGGGTGATCGTGGGTCCAACACTTAAAGTCAGAATAAGAGAATACCATTAACAGATATTAATATTAGAGTATGTAGAGGGAAATTAGGAGACTGGCACTTAACATCTCTGAATTTGTAGGGGTGAAACCAAGGACAGAGCACACTTGATGTTTTCAAAAACTTGCTTTCTTGAGCTGTGAAATAGGAGTAAGAACATGTCTTCTGGGCAGGCTCTTGGTCCCAGAAAGGAATGGCTTGAGCACCTCTGGATCCATATAGCTGTAGGAAGAGCTGGCCCAAGCCCCTCTCCTAAGATTGCCTCCCAGAAATCCAGGAGTGAAGTATGTGGATTACAGATGTGGTAAAGCTGAAGCTGGGCTGTCAGGACATGAGGGTTGGAGTGGGCATGTGTACATTGTCAGGGATGGGAGGCAGAAAAATGGCAGGTCAGCAGCCATCCAATTCCTTTATCTTCCAGAGAACAGCCACTGATGCAATGAGCACACACTGAGGCCTGTCTTTGTGAACAAGCCCCGCAGCTATAATGTATTCTTGGAACTCAGCAAGAGTGGTCCTCCAGCCTCAAGGGGGTACCTGAGTTCTGGGACTAACAGGAGGGGTTACTGTCCATACAAGGGAGTGAGAAGCTAAGAAGGAAATACTGGATTTCTTGCCTGTCTAAGAAGCAAGAAATATAAGAATATAAGAAGCAGAGGCAGTACATATGTGAGGTGTGATTTTATTTAACCTTCTATAGATGTAAAATTGGTCGTACTAATTATGTTACTATAATTTCTTCTTGCTTCTCTCCATTGCATCTCTGTAACTGGCCTAGACCAGGTACCTCTTGATTTATAGAGCTAATACTGCTTGACTCTATTCCACCATGATACAATTTTTCATTAAGGGCCACCTCTCTCTCTCTGCCTCTCTCTCTCTCTCTCTCTCTCTCTCTCTCTCTCACACACACACACACACACACACACCACAACATACACACAAACACAGGCGTAATACTTGTTTATTTTGCACTAAGGCCTCACACATGGACTTTATTGCAGAACTATATCCCTGGCATATATTTTACTTTTTATTTTAAGACAGGGTCTTCCTAAGTTAACTAGACTGGCCTTGAACTTAAGATCCTCCTACTTCAACATTCCAAGTAGCTGTGTTACGGCCTGGCTTCCAAAGATATCTATTCTTCAGATAATTACGTGCCAATCTGGGCCTGAATGCTGCAAGGCTACTGATGTATTTCACCATTTTAATGCATGTGATTCAATAGTTGGTAAATCAATTCAGTGATTAAATCCACAAAGAGTTTATGTGTTTGTTACTTGAGAGAACAATGTGCTGAATTACAGAGAATAATGAAAACAGCCCAGGGAAGCCCAACTATAAAACACAGCATGGCTTTGCTCAACAGTCAATGCAAAACTGTTGGTATGCAGTCTCCTACTGCTCTTAGAAAACTCTTGTGGATGATGAATTTGCCTCCAAGGCCTATATTTAGAATGAGAAATTGCTCTCCCTTAGGGGCCAGAGAAACCTCAGTGGCTTCTTATAGATGGAGTCTGTTCTCCCCATTGTCAATGACAGAGGCTCTTATTCTCTTTGTACTTGTTGATGTGCTCAGAATTGTCAAACCTACATGCCACTTGACAATTATACTTTAGTGGGTCATCTCCATTAT